TGGGTCCGCTGCGCTCGCTGGGCGATGCCCTCCTGCACATGACCATGGACCAGATCCGACCCATTGAACTCGCCGATTTCGAGGCCAGTCTTCGTACAATTCGCCCGAGTGTCAGCAAGGAGGGGTTGAAGGAGTACGAGGACTGGGCGAAGCAATTTGGTGAACGCGGTGGTTGAGGTTTCGACAGGTTCATCGTGAACATCTCGCTCACGTCTCGATCGGAAACGTGGCAAACACGCAGGGCCAAAGAAGGCCCCATCCACTGCTGGGGAAGGCAGGCATTATTGCCCACAGGTTATTCACGAACCAACAAGATCATTGCATTTTGCAGTGCACCGGAGTTGGGAGCAGGGCGTACATACATCAGACGGCGTTCCAGGAAATGAGGAAGAGCATGGAGGCTGGATCGCCGCAACGGGCGCATGGCGGGATATACCTAAGGTAGGAAGGATGCACTGGACTTGGGGCTGCTTTCTCTGCCCATGGATGGGCCGAGATGGGTCGACCTTTGAATGGTTGGCCTTTGCGTGGGAGCCCCAAGCTGCAATTGCACATAGTCTTACATGATCTGGTATATACACTTCCCCCGTCGAGTGCGAATACAGCCAGTCCCTCCAATCCCCCCACGACGTGTTTGGTGACGATAGCCATGCTATGGGTGTGCCTAGGTCGGTGGTATTCGGGCTTGCTGATGTTGACATGGCCTGGGTCTGGATGCTTGCTCTCTCCCTTCCCGCAGCAATCCGGCTTTCTGTCTGGCTTCCACGAGCTTCCCGGCCGGCCTGTGCCGTCCATCCCACTGCTTTCCTCTCCCTCGTTTCCCGCCCTGCCCCTCCCTAATCGACATCCATCTCATCCGGGTGTACGGGTTTGGGCTCGGTGGCGGCGGGGGCCTTCTTGCCCTTCCGCTTGCCCTTGCGGTTGCCGCGGCGGTCCTTGGTCGCGGCGGCGTGCGTCGTCGCCTCCTCCGGCACGGGGAGGGCGGGGGCGGGGACGCCGGCGGCGAGGAGGGCGCGGCGGGCATCGGCGGCGAGGCGGACGGCGGCGAGGACGGTGCTGTCGACGGCGCGGCGCAGAGAGCGGCGGGCGTCCTTGGCCTCGCGGCGGGCGACGCGCTCGGCGACGCGCTCGGCCAGCGTCGGCACCGGCCGCCGCGACTCGATCGGCTCCCCGAAGGGCGCAATGATCGCCTTCACCACGTGGCGCACGTGCTGCGACGCCCGCCACGACGGCGCGATCGACACGATGTCCCCCTGCCGCACCGAGTTGCGCGGGTCGTGCACCAGCCGGTGGTACGGCGCTTTGAAGTGCTGCGTGAGCCGCCGGTGTGGTTAGCCTCGTCGAAGACGCCGTGTCGGCGGTACGTGTTGTTGCTGGCCCGGCAGGACCTCGGTTACCGTACCTTCTGGACCCTGTCTTCCCACCGCATGCCGCCCAGCTTCACCTTGATGGTCTTGTCCATCCGGCCGGCCGACACGACGACTCCGTGTAATTCCTTCTCGACCTGGCGCGCGGCCGCGGCGGCGAATTCGGACGCCATCTGGGCCACTCGGTCTTCTTTCGTTCCGCTCGGTCGTATAGATTATCTTCGGCTCTGGTATGGTCACGCTGGTCTCGTGCTTTCGCTGTCGTTGGGTTCGCTCGTCGTGAAGCTCGTCTAGAAATTTAGAGATTCAAGCTGGAGTCTCTCGCCAATGGGAAAGCTGCAGAGTGGCCCCACACCGGCTAGCGGCTTTTGTGGGACTGTTGCGGGTAACGTGCCCTTCCGCTGCTCCCCTAACACTCTTGACACTTCAGCGCTGAGGTAAGGTACTCTCCCTCCCAGATATCATGGTCACCAGGGAGGTACCAACCAGGTAGGTATTTCTGATTCCCTTGCCTAAATCAACTTTTGTGAGTTTACTTCCTATTTGTGATCGTGCTAGAAGTGCACGTGGTCTTCCATTGCGAACATACACTCTCATCTCTGATTGACCAGTCCGATCAGTGATGGATGCACTTATCTCTATTTGTGAGCCAGAGAGATAGGTCTACTACGTGGATAAGCTACGAAGGAAGGGTGATCCTCCAAAGCAAGTTGGTTCAGCATAGTCCTCTACTCATTTGCTGTCCTTTAATCAGGTGTCTATCCAAGAAGCCGATGTTTCATCTCGGCAACCTCGAGCCTAGCAAGATACCCAATTCGTGCTAACGAATGGTCTACTCTCTTGGTTGCCTGACCCCCGGGCCCAAGAGACTCGTCTCCTCGTCGACGACCACAGTCTTCCTTTCCGAGACTGCAGGCTTGCTTCTTTGCATGCTCAGCCAAACCGCCGCACCAATGATCAGCGCACTTCCTACGAAGCTCAGAGCTGGCGGTGTTGTACCCCAGACTACCCGCTCGATGATGAGCGCAAACACCATCTGTATATACTGATCGTCTGTTAGCACGTCGTTTGCAAGGGGCAGAGAGCATCCGCATACAGTCATGTTAGTCGCTCGTCCGCCTTTTTCTCGCTGCAACCCTTCCGTCAGGAGGAACTGCAGCAGAAAGCCCGAGACGCCAATGAGAACAAGCAATACCCTGTGTACGTCAGTCAGTTACACGACCTGTGTGGCAAGTCGATATCACCTACCATTGCGTAGCACCTTTCGGTAGGACGAAGTGAAGATCCGGGTGGATGAGTATGATCAAGGCCGAGCCGATGGTCGCGAGCATGGCGAAGTAGTTCACGCTCAGGAGTGAATGCGCTCTCTTTCCAATCACCCTTATGGTGCCGTAGGCCACAGCTGCTGCGACCGTGCCGATGATGGAGCATACGATGGCGATTGATCTCTGGAGCGAGGAGGGAGGTTCGGCTGGGACCGAGCCCTGGGGATGATCAACGATATACAGCGACAGTGTTTCCTTGCGAGCGCCGTCGCCTGTGATGGGCTCCTCAACAGCATGGCCGAATAAGAAGGCTGGGCGAGCAATCAGGAGGACTCCTATCAGAGCGAACACACCGCACATGGCCTCTTGGCTTCTGTACGGTTCCTTGGGGTCGTTCAGTATGATGTACCTAGCTAGCAGTGGATCAGACAGCCATCAACTCACATTCAGCCAAAGGTAGCATATGATCGCCGTCCATGTAGGTACCAGAAAGGTAATAGCTGTAGCATCGGATATCTCTAGGTACGACAACGAGTCTGCTTGTGGGTTAGTATGCCTTCCACAATACTTCGGCTGATGCTCACAGTATAGCCCAAACAGCCCGATGAAGCCGGCGGTGCCACGCAAGACTAGGAGTCGTCTTACACCGCGCGGGCCTAGAGGGAAGTTGGGGACTCTTTTGTACCACATGTACAACATGCCCAGCACAGCGGTGAAAAGCATGCGCACAAATATTATCTGCAAGGCATGGAGTCTGTTGGTTGTTCCTTGGGATGTCAACAGCTTGGCGGCCGTGCTCATCTGCCATGGTCAGTCAGTTCCCTGGAGACGACCGAGCGTTACCTGAAGCCAGACAAGCGAAACTCACGATAGACCCAAAAGTCTGAGCGGCAAACACCAGTACCAACCCGATGTTCCTCGCATAGAAGCCTTGTAGTCTCTGCCAGACGGTCAGCGACGGTTGATCTGCTGTTTCCGAAGATCCGGCATCGGCGTCGGCGTCGGCGTCGGCGTCGGCGTCAGGGCTGATCGGCGGTGGGGGGCCGTTGGGATCGGAGACTGCAGATGGGTCGCCGACCGTTGGCTCGGGGCTGGTGGCACCTTGGCTGTCCGCGGTCGGTCCGTAACCCATCCTCGATTCTAGCGCTCGTGGTGTTTTCAATCTGGAATGTGAGAAGGGAGAGTTATCGTCCTTGCCGCTCTGTGTTTTCCGAGAATTTATGATAGGAAGCCCCACTGCGGTCAGGGACTAATCCGCGTAGGCGCGGCTCCTCCGAGGCCCGGCTTCCTGGTCCCAAAGCCGAAGCTGCGCGTGACACTGGTCTTGTCCGACTGCTACCCACCCTTGCCCCTATTGTAAGGCTCGTGGACAGATTGATGGAGACTTGCATCCCACCTCAGCATCCAGGCTTCCGACCCTCCTTTGACTCAACTTGACGAATGGTCAGGCATTCGGACGATCCAAGTTCTCGAAACAAGCATGGTCTAGGTAAAAAGAACAATGGGTACTGGTAAAGTTTTGTCTAATTGCTTTGAAGAGGCTTCCTGCTCAAGAAGACCCCCAAACCTCTGTTACCGATATACACTTGTGCGCCCGAAGGCTAGGTAGTAGTCCTGTAGCATAGATAAGGTAACCTGTAACCCTGAGCTTCAAGTGTGCATGGCTTACATGTGTAAGTTATGGATTTAATATACTGTCGCACGATGTAGGGCTTTGGAATGTGCACATCAATCTTGCGCCTGTGACTGCGTGCTGATAGACAGGTGGCTGAAAGACCCTTGCAAGACATGCGCTGTGGAAGCAGGAGAAGGCGACGGCCATTCTGCAATGCCTAAAGCTTGTGCATCTTAAGATGCAAGCGATTTGGCGCATAAGGGAATGTGAAGCTTTGTCAAAAGGCTCATAAGATGACATCCAGGACCGTGCATCTGGTGCAGCGCGTAGACTGACCAAAAAGGGGGTGGGCATGCTGTGTTGTGCCTACGGAGACTGGTCGCGGGGAGGGTTGCGGGCTAGAAATGTTCGCGATGGTGGCTTTGGCTGTGTTGTGCCTACGGAGACTGGTCGCGGGGAGGGTTGCGGGCTAGAAATGTTCGCGATGGTGGCTTTGGCTTCAAAAAGCTCGCAGAGCATCCGGCGGTAGGTACGCAGGCACGCAGGCGGATCATCCATCGGTTTTCCTAGGACGGGACCTGCTCAGGGGCAGTTGGAAGTGATGCTCCGGCCACTGCATGTCAACAACCGTCTACCCTCAGGAAACCATACCAATATGAGAGATACTTAGGAAGCACGGTGGCTTGTACTGAGCAGTAAAAAGGTGGTAGAAGCTATGAAAGGCAAAAAGAAAGCGAGTGACTCGCTCTAGATGGGAGCATGCGGGATTCGAACCCACGACCTCCTGGAAATTGATTGGGTGATCCCAAACCAGGCGTGATAACCACTTCACTAATGCACCTCGCATTGATTGTTAGAAAGATAGGCGGTTTTGGGGATATATGGGAGCTGGGTGGTCTGTTGGCTTGGTTCTGGGGCAACAATCGCTTCGTTGGAAGCGAGCGGATTAGGATAGGGAGCCATGCATGCTAAACGCCTGTTTGGCACTGGAAGAAGATCGTTTCAGTGGACATGTCTTTTCGATAAGCCCTCTGAGATAACCGCCTACAGTCTGGCTGTCCACATGGGATATTTCTTGTCAGTGACCTCGGCTCCCATGCATGTCTGCTCATGCCCAGTACACAGGCTCAGGGGTGCAGGTATCAGCTTATCCTGTGTATTCCTGGCAGAGTAATGGATCTCTATGGGCGTTTTATCTTCAGAGGAATGTCTACGAGGGATCTTCTCGCCAGAGTCCGCCAGTGACATGACCGCCAAAGCGGGTTGGAGCGGCCTGTGGCAGGTCCTTCATCACAGCCAGGGGCATAATACACCGGCTTCTCAGGAGACTACGTACACTTCATCCCCTGCTGATATACTTAGGTCCCTGTTCAAAAGGCCTAATCCATGATGCCGCCAGCCACATGGAGTCGGAGAATCTGCCTCTTCATCTATATTATGTTGCATAAGAACGCAGCTGTACCTGTCGCTGTCCGTAATGCCAGCCTAGATAGCTAGATATTCCAGCAGAAGCCGTTGCAAGCACGCTCGGGGATCTATTCCTCTGCCATTTCCTTAGATCCCAGACGGTACCTAAGCAATAGCAGGTCTGTTCCTATCGTATTCGGTGAGCGACAGAAAAGGTCTGCGAATTTGGCTTGGGGGTTCTAGTCAGATCGAGGATTGTTGATGGTATCTGCATTGATGCGAATTGATACCCGCATCACCGGCTCTCGTTGAAAGAATGAAGCACAAGACTCGTCTCTCTTCGGCATCAAGGTGAATGGTGACGAGGCGTCCTCGCAAAGACCAAGTGACGGGCCCATTGGTTGATGTGGAGGGAGGCCAGTGTATGCGATGAATGTCGCGGGAATATCGTATCTGTGTCGCTCGCCGAAGGAAATATCTGAGTAACATGTCCGAGGCGAACGGACCCTCGATAGAAGTGACTCGTAGACCGGGTTCAACACTGGAGTTGCAGTCAGTGAAGTGCCGCTCCAAGTAATTGAATGGTTATGGGTGGCATACCTGATATTGACGAAGGGAGCAATTGGAGGTCATCTGGAGATCAAGGCCAGGGCCAAGGTCAGGGGAGAGGTAGTAACAGACCCTTGCTTATGAGCAAGAACGGCGTGTGTCAGTTGGTTGGCGAATGCTGAACATGGCGAAGCAGGCAACCCTTTGTTGTAGCTGGAAGGTGACGCGCAGTCGCGTAGTGCCCTGCAGATTCACCGGTGCAGACGCGTTATGATTGTGATTGTGCCCGTCACCTGACCCGATAGGGAGACAGCCCCACGAAGAAGGAAGCTACTGCCCCATCCCAACAGCCAGGGCGCCTGCGTACTTCGTTCAAAGTGCTTCAAGGGATCTCCATGTCCCCTCAATATAGTTGTAGAGTTCCAGCCTCTTGTATTACCAGCTACCTTGCCTCTCTAGAGACCTCCATTAACCCACGCAATACCGGTACCCCTAAAATCCGAAGTCCTCTTTTCAGCAACAACACCACCGTGTACACGATCCTCTACCAGAAACGGAGCCGAAGTGCTCTACTCAAGGGATCGGCAGCTTGGCTTGACCTCGGCCTGGACGAATAGCCCTGCGCCGCTGCCCGGAGAAGTCCGACTGGTTGAAGTCATCGACGGCTTGCTGGGCGGATTCTGCAGCCGCAAGACCGCCCTCGCCATCATTCGCGGCGTCGTTGTCCTCGCCGCCTTCGCCAACAACCTGGAACTTGGTGCAGTCGTCCTGGGCACCGCGCTGGGCGACGGGCATAATGACGGGCGCGTGGTTCGAGGAGGAAGTGAGCGTGCAGACGCGGTAGAAGCCAGCCGGGAGACCACCCTCCACGTCAGCAGCCAGGAGCCCATTGCCGTCGCCGGCGTCGTTGATGCCCTTGAAGAAGACGAATTGGGTCGGGTCGGGGGGTACGCCGGGATTGAAGCTGCTGCCGAGGTCTTGGACCGTAACGTGCGTGTGCCCGACGATGAGCCCGTCCTGCAGGTCCTGGGGCGCCGAGTAGTAGGTAGTGTCGGCGTTGGTGAACGAGCCTGCGATCAGGTTCTGCGTCTGCACCTGAATCTGGAAGTCTTGCCCGGCCGGAACCTCGTCGCCCTGTGCCGGCTCGATGATGAGAGACGAGATCATCTGGTCCTTTGATGGGATCTTCCCCTGCACTGTTCATTCGTCAGCCAACCGCGTCGCAAAATTAGAATAGGGGGTCTGGTGTGATGTGCGTACCAATACCGTTACAGGAGCCTTCGACGATTTGGAGACCGTTCATGAGCGTCTCGCCTTGGCAGAAGTTGATGAAGTTTTCGTTGGACGTGGCAGATGGTGCCTCGCCCTCTTCTGCGCTTCCGGCGTCGGTTCCGTCCTGGAAGGACCCTTCCTGAATGACATCGGGGTCCAAAACAGCTTGCCCGCCGTTTTGGTCGTTTCCGTTTCCATCATTCTGATTGTCTATTGAGCCAACATCAGCTTTCGTTCAACAACAAGGAGTTAGGCTGGCACACTGTCATCCTGGTCATCGCCGCCAAAGAAATCCTGGGCCACCACGAGCGAGAGGAAGGTGAGGCCCAAGAACATCTTTTTTGACACCATCGCGCGTTGAGATGATAGGAAGACTGGATAGAGCACCAGAGTCTCAGGAGGCAAAGAACGTTGTGCTATTGGGCAGTACCTATGTAGCAACTGATGCTTCAGAAAGACACGATCAACGTGATCTTGGTCTTCTCCCAATTGAACTAGAAGATATTTTCTAGGTCCCAGGCCAAGAGGGGGCAAGAGGAAGAAAAGGGACCACGCCAACGCGCCATACTATCGATCAACAATTATAAGGAGACCGAGGAGGCATGGAGTTGACACAGCCCATGGCAGGCGTTCAGAACGGCCAACGCCATACAAAAGACACCTATACAGAGTGAACTATAGCCACGCGGAAAGAGAAAGCCTAATGGATGCACGGAAGCTTTGAAACCTACCACCCTTGAAACCAGTCGATGCCCATCGAGGGATTTTGATGACCGTACATAAGTATAAAAGGGGAAGATCTAGAAGAACCAGTATGCGAGACCAAGTTGTAGTATCAGGAGGGTATCTGCACATCAGGCTTTTTTGTTTCCTTACCACGGATGATCGGGGAGAAACGTTCTCTCGGCACCGAGAGTGTATGATCTTCAGTGTCCGTGATGCCAGATCTTTGGTGTTTTGCATACAGGTCTGTCCCGTGCCAAGCAAACTCGGGACGAGCCGAGGTTGATTCGGAAGGACGGTATGTCAGAGTTGAGATCTGCACGCATTATGCTAGAATTGCCCCAGTTTGTCAACTCGCGGGAGTTGTTGTCTTCCATATTCCACTCCTGGTGGTATTGCGACGCTGTAGAATAAGCCACCACCATCCGCGAGGTGTTTCGGTATGGCTGCCACTCGGGAAACCCCCGGTCTCTAGTGATCAGTGCATGGAACGCGCGGCCGGGTCAAGATATGCCGAATGGTATACCGTCCTCGCCGTCCATCTGACATGCCTCACAGGGTCACACAACCTCCGTAGTCCCTTTCAACTCTGTCGCCTTCTCCGAGACACCACCTACGAAGTGACCGACTCACTGCAGTGAAGTTTCTCGAAGCTGACGTGGAAAGAGTGCTCATCGGGAGCTCATCGGGGGGGTACAGTTGGCTCACGGCGTCTGCAACATCCTGCATGTCAAGCGGTCTGGAGCTCATCCTTATGGCACGAGAACCATGTGATATCCGGCGAGTGATCTGGAGAGAGGAAGCTGACAGCGATCAGGTCGATGACGAGGAGGCACTTCGGCGTGAAACGCGGATCTGCACTTGATGGCCAGCATTCAAGGCATCCCGTGCCAAGGCTGGAAGCGGGTTGGATGAATAAAGTACCTAACTTAGGCAGGCTGCGCCGTGTTCCAGTTACGAAGTGTGCAGAGTGGTACGCTTCCGCCTGCATTCATGCTTGTTGGGTTCCCGTGCTGCCAGCTGCCTTGCTTCGTAGCACAGTGTTAGCGTCAGGGTGTAGAATCGTGCTCAGAAACGGGCACTGGCAAGACTGGCAGACTGGAAGAGGGGTAGCAGGTGCCAGGGCGAGCAAGGATGGCAGATGAGGTTTGAAATTTTATTACGGAGTAGAGTAGCGCTTCAATGCAGAGATGATGCCAAAAAGATGCAGAAGTATGGAAGTTGCCGGGGTGTATTTGGACTCTTGGGACGAGTTGGTTGTCAATATCGATTGATCAGAGCTTCGGGGAAGCTTGGGGGGCGCTTGGGGAGGGGTGTTCGGGGGTGGAGAAGTATCCCGACTTCCAAGTTCCTACAGGGAGGACTGATTGGATGAGTGAGGTAAGGGTAGCAATGAAAGCAAGGGTAGGGGAGGTAGCAGCCGATGAAGACGTGGTTGACGGGCAGGATTGGCCGAGAGCGGCATAGGGTTGCTAATGGATTTGACGAGGCCCGGACAGCTAAAGCATCACAGATACGAATATCGAGGCACGATATTCCATGGTGACGGGAGTGAGGGGCACAAAGAGCTGGAGGGGTTGGGGTTGCGTCAATTGCGCAGGAACGCAACAGCACGGTCACAGCAGATGGGGGGCAGCAGCGAGGCACGCTAGAAGTTAGAATTCGACGGCCAGACGGCGTAATACCTAAGGTATACGGTACGGTTTGGCACAGTACAGCACGGTATGGCACCGAGTACCTTCCGTACTCCGTACCGCGTACCAAGCCAGCCTACTCGGGGCCCGACAAAAGTCGGAGCGAGCACGAAAATGGCCAGGCCAGACCAGACCCGTCAACCCGTGATGTGATAGACTGGCCTCGTCTACTTCTTTTTACCTGGCACCTAAGGTA